CGGCGTGGAGGGGCGGAGACCTCGGCGGTTGGGGTGTTTCCGCAGCCGGCCCCCGGCCTCCCTCCCTCTCACGCCGCCCTGGGCAGGGGACCGTGCGGGCCTGGGGCTCCTCAAGGGGGGGACGGCCACAGCCCGTGGGCTGGGCTTGTGGGGAGACCGGGCGGTGATGGCGCGGCGGCGCTCGGCACCGCGGCTGCCCCGAGTTCTCGCCCTCCTGAAACGCCTCCCTACTTCCCCCCCCCCCCCCCCGGGCCCTTCTTCCCTGCCACTCTCCAGGGCTACTCCGTTTCTTGCCCAGCGGGAAGACTGGCCATCGCCCCCTTCTGCAGTTCTCCCTGTGGTCCCAGCATCGTGTTGGAGGTGCAGAGAGGAAACGCCGCTTATTAGCATATTTCCCTCCAGCTACTGTATCTTGAGGGAGATTATTCTTACGATCTCTTCTAATATTCTGGTAGATGGCTTCTTTTCCAGTCCCAGACCCACCAGTTTCCAGTTGTTTGGCAGCAGAAATAGTGCCCGCTCTGAGCACTGCTAACTAAACCACATCGCTGCTTGGTGCCCCGCTGCCAGCCGGGGTGTGCTGAGGGTCAGGTCACAGTAACGCACACCTGTGCTTGAATGGAGTCAGTGGAGAAATTGATAATGGTCAGGTATGTCAGGTGGAATTGCTGTTCCGGCTGTGGCCTGCTGCTGCCAGGAAAGTGTTGTTTCCCCGGTATGGTGAGGGCTGGGCGCCAGTTCCAGGGTCTCTGTGCCAGGTCAGCAGGCAGCCTCAGTCCTCTGGTCGCCGAGAGGTCGCCCCACTTTCGAAAGTGGTTTTGAGGGAACACTTCCCAGCCTGCTGTGAGCCTTCCATTGGAAATCCTCCATCAGATTTCCATCAGAAATCAGGTCTAAGTCCTGCCTTCAGTGAGCATCCACCCCTGAATTAAACGAGTCGGAATTTCATCTTCAGAAGCTACTCTGGGGGTCAGCTGACCCAGCCCTAACTGAATGGTTTTGGCTAGGTGAGTGGGTGGCCAGTCATCTGCAGTACGCTGCTTTCAGGAGCCATAGTGGTGGCTTCCCCAGGTCTCTTGCTAGGTGTTCCTTGTCTGTAATTTCCACGTCTGACAACCCTGCTGGGGGTTTCATTTCCTCCTCTCCCTGATCAGGACGGGAAGGCTCCCCGAGGCTATGTAACTTGCCCACAAGGAAGAACCGTCACAAGGTGGGATTCCCAGGTTTGTTGTTTTGCCGTGCCTCAGGCACTCTGACAAAAATTAGCCTAGGATGTTTTGATTTACTTCTAAATGTTAATTTGCTATATTGAGTCAGAACTTTAAAATACGTGTCTTCCAGTTATCGGGGAAAGCAAAGCCTTCGTTTGAAGTTTAAATTTTAGACAGTGCTCCTGCCCCTGGTTTTGTTCTTGTCTTTTTATGCAAGCTGTGGTTTTTAGACTTGATACGTATCTGGCTGCTGCGCCACAGGACTAGTAGGGATGGACAGCAGCCTGCCAGAGTACTGCCGCGGAGCGCCATCCTCCAAGGCTCAGATTAGAGGAGCCCTGATGGCCCCCTCGTGTGTGAGTGCTCCACTCTGGGACTGTCACCTCAGACTGACTCAGCCGCACCTGCCCCCTCCTCTGTCAGGTTGCTGCTTACCATTGCCCCTGCGCCCCAGAATGCTTTCATTGTACTGTATGTACCTGCATCTAGGTCCATACTTGATTTTGCCCCATTTTCTGTTAGCTGATGGCCCATTCAAACTATCGCCTGAACCACTGATTGGCACTAATCGTAGCTGGCCTCGTTTTGCTTTGACTTTAGAAATCCATCCATTAAGCATAGGTTTAATGCTGGGCAGGTAAACATGAATTCGACCAAGTTCCTATCTGCAAGGAATCGGTCTGTTTACGGAGTGTGAGGACAAACCTGGGCAGATACCTGAGCAGAGCTCAAAGTGAGCAAACTGGGTGCCATTCAGTCTGGACATTTCAGAAGATAATTGCCTGGTGGAGTCTGTGGAGCACGGGTTTTTTTCATCTGGATTGTGTCTTGGCTCAAATCCAGCTGCAAGCTGGTAAGAGTAGCCTCTGTAACTTGCCTTAAGGGTTGGCACAGAGGACAGGGTGCTTGGTCAGCTCCACCCTCAAACAAAAGCACCAGGTAAAGGTTCCTTGGAGTTTCCATTTACTATCTCAGAATGGAGTTGGGAAGGGTGGTCGGGGGTTCTCGGCACTGTCTCCTCTCCGATATCTTTATTTTGTTACCTTTTTCTGTTTCCTGGTGGTGATGAGCAACACAACCACTAAGAAGAAAAGGTCTTAAGTGGTTTGCTTGGCGGTTAGCAAAATAGAAGCCGGAGTGGTCCTCTTTAGGATTTTAAGGGCAGGGACCCCAGAGGATAGAGTGGGGTCTGGGGAGCTAAGAGGGAAATGGCTTGAGTCCTTGAGGTACGCTCTCACGGGAGAGCTGGGGGCTGTGTTGACCTGAGCAGTAGAAAAACCCATGAGATGTTCTTGATTGAAAGACAAAAAACTGGCTGTGACATGACGGATAGCTGGGATAAGAACAATTGTTTGTGTGGGGATTGTCAGCCTGGGGAGATGAGGATCTGTTTCCAGAGAGAGGCCCTCAGTCAGAGTCGGAAGGGACAAGTTAACTGGGGATGGGGTGCTCTCCAAGGACAGGCCACGTGATGCATGTAGCGGGGTGCTGTTCGGCACGTGCAGGCTGTCGGTAGTGCTTAGTGAAGGGGTTAATGGCAGCAGACAGGAGGTGGTAATGGCACATGTGGGCAGAGCAAGGCCACCCGTGCTGTGTGGGCGCGTCGCTCTCAGCTCTCCTGCCCACCCCCTTCCCTCTGCTGGCTCTTGCTCCTTGTCTTCCCCTCAGTTTTTCTTCAAGAGCACCTGGGGGAGATTCCACTTGAGGCTCTGAGGCATGAGTTACTGGTCAGCGCTGGACTGTCCTACTGGTTGGAGGCCCGGCGTACTCATGTCTTGGCCAAGGTGGGGACAGTGGGTGCACGGCACAGGGCCCTGCCACCTGCGCACGTCTGCAGCCCGGCTGCGCAGTGGGAGAGCAGACCCAGCGGGGGGCTGGCTGGGCCACTGCTGTGGAGTGAGGCCTTGCCCACGATGGCACCGAGGACTCGTGGGGAAAATGCAAAACACGTTACACGTCTCTGTGCCTGTATATTGTAATGTCTTCAAGTTACAGTTTGCGTATTTCTAGTTTGTTTCTTGAGCATTACCTAATTCCATTTGACTAGCTGTTAGGGCCAGATCCACACAAGTTAACAGTCTAGCTAGACTAAACATTCTGACTGTGTGAGCTCGACTTCTGTTTATCTTTCTGCCTGAATCCAGTCAGCTTCGGGTGGGCCTGAAAGGCATAGAGTGGCTTCTCCACCCGTGGAAAGGAGCCGCTAAAGTGCATTTGACTGTTGCTGGAGATGTCGTCCTTTCTTCAGACAGTTCTTTTTCTTTTCATTTAACATTGATTCAGGGTCCTTCCTGGTGTGCAGTGGGTTAAAGTGTAGCACGCCGAAGCTACCCACAGCCACTGCCGCACAATTTGATTCCCGCCAGAGAGGGACCCCAGGGCGCAGCAGACCCTCCTGTCCATACTGCTGCCCCCCCCCAGCAGTATATCTCGGTAGATCCGCCTGTTCTGCTCCCCACTGTCTCTGGTGAATCCTCTCAACCCCTGCACCTCTAGCCTGTACCCCAGTTCTTGTGTGCATAAATAAGTCACTCTAAAAACAACATCAACAACATTGATTCAGCCCCTTCTTGTGCTCCTTGCTAGGGCAGCATCTTCTTGTCCCGGGTGGGCAGACACAGCGATGAATAAGACACCATTCCGGGTGTCTTGAATAAGACACTGCCTTCCGTCCAGTGCAGAAGCAGCCTGGACCGTGGTGCTTAGGCTGAGGGCTGCTGGCTTGGGAAGCCGGGGGGCGGGGGGGGGGGGGGGGGAGTTGTACCTTATGTTTCCGGGCACTTGATGCCGCGGGGGCTTCGGAGGGTGAGTGACAGCTTAAACATGGGAGTTGGGTGATGAGATTCGTTGGAAAGACCGTGCTGGTGCCCGGGAGAGGGTGAATGGAGGGTGGAGATGGCTTGGGAGCCCTTTAGGAAGTTGTGTGACTGTTTGTGGCCTGGAGCAGTGTAAGTGGAGAAGGGGAGGAGAGAGGCAAAAGGTGGTGGAAAAGATTGGCCAGGTTTTTAACTTCATTTGGAAGTTTGGGTCAGTTTTTCACACAGAAATTTCCCATTTTTGACTTTGTTTTTGGCCAAGAAAACAGCCCCTTAACTTGGTTACCTCTTCGCTGCAGTCTGTCAGAAAACTGGAAGACTGCTTTCTGGAAGTCACAAGTTAGCCGACGGTCACTTCATTTTCCTTGAGCCCCTTAGCTGCCTTCGTGCGCCCCTGCGCTGCTCGGGCGCGTGCGCACCAGCTGCCTGTGTTGGGGTGACCGGGTGGTCCGTCTTTGGCCAGGGTGGTGGTAGCAAGTGAGAAGGGGCGTGGTCACGGGATGACCTTGTTTTGCCCTTCCACTCAGATTGAAAGATGATGACAGTGGGGACCATGATCAGAATGAAGAAAACAGCACACAGAAAGATGGTGAGAAGGAAAAAATGGACCGAGACAAGGGTCAGGGCAGCAGCAAGAGGAAGGTGAGTCTTGGCTGCGCAGATGGGCTTGCCCTGGGACTGGAGCCCTGCTCTCCGTGGGGCGTTTGTGCGGGAGATGCCGTGTCAGTCTGGGGGCGCCTTGGCGAGAGTGTCTGCCTGGGGTTCGTTTTGGCCCACGCAGCCTTTCCCTGGCCACAGGATTGAGGTGTTACCTTCCTCTCCTGCTTCCCCCCAGCCTGCCGGGGACTCAGCCCTGCGGCATAGTAAGCTTCCGAAGCTGCTGCTGAGCACCTCCAGGGCCTCCGCACCCTTGAAATTTCGGATTCTTCAGTCAGTGATGGTCTCAGCTGAAAGTGACTGGGGAAAAATAAGATTTAGAGAATGAACTGGATGATTGCCCTTCTGGTACATCCGAGCGCTTGTTAGTCCGTTTGTCCCACAGTACTGAGTACTCCCAGGGGGCGTTTTCGGGGCTAGGAGGACACGAAGGTGAGTGAGACGGTGGGCCACGGCGTGTGCGTTTCAATGTGATGGCGACTGGTGACGCTGTTGAGCGTTTGTGTGTTCGGCCACGTGTGTGCGCGCAGAGGAGTGTACATCTGTTCATTTGTTTGATGCGATGGTTATTTTTCTTTTCGCCATCTCGCAGCTAAGCAGCTGAGGCACAAACAGGAAGCAGAATCGCATAGTGATGGTGTCCTGGGGGAGCTGGGGCTTGGCCAGGGAACGCTTGCAGGCAGGACACAAACTTAAATACAAGAAGTAGAAAGTTAAAATGGCATCAGAATGCAAATAAAGTATTGAAGGAAATCCATTTCCACGCACGTATCTACTGTCTAAGCAGAATCTCGGGCGCGTGGTGAAGAATTAAGGATGTAGCCTTAATTGTGGATGTGGTCAAAACAAAACCTGCCCTGTCAGATGCAGAGCTCGTGGCGGAAAGCCCAGGCTAACGCACCTTCTTCGCTTCGCAGGCTGTTGTTCCCGGGCCGGCAGAGCATCCCTTGCAGTACAACTACACTTTCTGGTACTCCCGGAGAACCCCCGGCCGCCCCACCAGCTCCCAGAGCTACGAACAGAATATCAAGCAGATCGGCACCTTCGCCTCCGTGAGTGCTTGGCGCGCTGCCGCGTCCTGCCGTGTCGGTGCCGGTTGGCCTGCTGGGCACTCTGCTTTCCTTGGTCAGCTGACCTGAGCCCCTAGGTCAGATTACTCACCCTCAGCCATCGATAGGTAACACCGGCTGTGAATGTGAAGGGATCGGCCCCCTGGGCCAGGTGGCTTGTGTTCAGTCGCTGTTTATTGAGTCCTCACTGTGTGCGAAGGCCGCGGGGGACAGAAATCGTCCAGTCGCTGGCGTCTCCGGAAGCTCGGCAGCAGAAAGTGAAGTTCAGGTTTCCTGGTGGTTGGGAGCCTCTGGTAGGGTTTTGCCTGTGTTAGTGGCTCTGCAAAAAGTCGCATCTTTTTCCTGTGTTCAGCGAGAAAATGAAATCTCTAAAGTAAATATTTGGGGGTACTGTCAGTACAGAGGGCCCCGGCTCGCTCCTCACCCGTACAGGTCACCGGCTTGTATCTTTTGAGATGCTGAAACCAGGCGTGTGCTGCAGAAGCTGTTAAGTACTTCCTGTGTGCTGTGTTGTGTACATTCCTTCTCAGGGCAGAGCCAGATGCAGGGCTTACTGTTTTCTTGACATTATTGAGGTATTTGTTCTGTTTAAGATGCAGGCACTGGAAAAGAAAATGGTGAATATTACAGTAAGTTAGTGAAGAGTAAGGACCGTCATGGGCACTAGATGGTGCCCTCCTGGGGGCTGCGCAGCAGCTGTGAGGTCAGCGGTGGTCTCCGTATTTCACAGATGAGGAGCGTGAGACGTCAGGGTCTGATGAAAGTCTCAAGTCACTCCTGAGTCTTGATTTGGTAGAGGAGCGGAGTTGACTCGCGTGTCGAGTAGACCGTGAAAGCCACGTTCTGAAGCCCGTGTACTTCCTTCCCTAATCAGTACCAAGAGGCACACCGAGGGCTCCAGATAGTAAAATGTTGCTTATTAGACAAAGCATATTCATGTATTCATTGCTAACCAGATACACATATATAAGAGGTAATTTACCACATATTTCCATTGATGTCATTTCAAAGCAAAGCGTATGAGCCGTTATCATTGGTAAATTCAGATTTCTTCTAGACGTTTCAGATAACTTGTATACTGTGTGTATTTGGTTCAGAAGTGTTAGTTGAATGAATTCAAGGCACGAATAGGTTTCCAAATTGAACTGAGACTCCACCCAGAGGGAAATTAGACATGCCGGAGTCTCCCCTACCAGAGGTAGCAAGGGGTGCCCCAGGAGTCCAGAAGAAAGGGGAGGAATTCCAGCTTGGGGTGGGGTCTGCAGGAGGTAGGGTCAAGAGTGAGTTTAAAGAATTTGAATTGGTGGTAAAAGAAGATAAACCAATTCCTGGCAGAGAGCAATAGAATTGGTTTGTAAAAAGCCCATGTCTTCCTGACATCCCACCGCAGAGGTTTCGATCACCTTCTGTGTGAAGACGTTACAGGTAACATGGCAGATTATTACCCGCCCCCCAAAAGTTTCCTCATTTTGTAGATAAGCAGCTGAGCATAATTAGGAATATTTCTAGCATTTTTTTTCTTTCCCTCTTAAGAAAAGCATATGTGAATTTACCCAGCTTGTACCGAGAGGGTTTTGTTCTCTTTCAACATGCGTGCAAGTCGAACAGTCTGCCCTCTGTGCCATCCTGGGTTGGGGCTGCTGCGGCGCCCTGGGCGTGTTGAATGTCAGCTGTCGTGCGAGGCAGTGGGAAATGGCTCATGGTAGTAAATATCGTGCAGAGAAAAAGCTACATCGTTGGCTTTTTAATCAAACCCAAAGCAAGTTCCCAGTGGTCCTCAATTCTAACATTTGACAATATTTAAAGTTCTTACTACCGCATGTCACGAAGGCAGTGTGTCAAAATGGAAGGCGCCTGAGCCGGGACCCGCCAGGCTGTGGCTGAGGCACAGTTGGTACTTTCACCCCTCACCCAGATGCATGGGATCCACTGTCCAGTGGTGGTATTTTTCCTCTCAGCGGTTGTAGGGCGGGAGAAGGCTCCAGCCGAGTGTACAGGTGTGATCCCTCGCCCCCACGCACTGTGTGCAAGTCGGCACCGCCACGGGGACGCCGCACGGGCGCCTCGGGACTTGCGGTCAAGGTCTCTGTCACTCGAGCGTTCCCTGTGTGCCTCTCCTGTCGCGTGCCGAGAGTCCCGCTCCCCAAGCTGGGTGGGCGGAACGTGGGAGCCGCTCAGCACACGGTTGTGGTGTCTTGCGTGTCTGTTTACAGCGGCCCCAGAGGTGCGGACATTTCCCTCCAGCCCGTGCCATGCTGTTTTCGCAGTCCTGGTCTGGTGTCCTCTGAGCGGGCACTGCCTTTGCGTGCCCTCTGTGAGTTAGAGGGGTGGGCTGTCAGGGCTCTGGCAGGAGAACTGAGGGTGGTGCCATGAAGCTCCGCAGCCGCTGCAGCGCGTTCCATCCCGGCCAGGGAGTGACGCACACAGCGCGGCAGCCCCCCCCCCGCCCCCCGCTGCTCCCCTCAGCAGTGGGTTTCTGCTTCTGCCTGTTCTGCTCTCCACTCTGTCTCTGGGGAATCCTCTCACCCCTCCCCATGTATCTCTGGCCTACACCCCAGTTCTTCCTTTCATAAATAAAGACGTGATATGGTTCTAAAAACTCCGTTCAGGCTGAGGTCAGTGCAGTAACCCCAAGACTAGAGGGTTTCCACTGTGTGAGGCGCGGCCTCCTACCACATGTCACTTGATGACTGTCCTGCCGCCCGCTGGCAGGTGCAGCAATGATGTGACCTCCCCAGGTTAGGCTCCTGCCTGAGGCTGGCGTTTCCCACCTGAAGAGTTTGTTGGGGTCAGCAGTGTTACATTTTTCTTTTATTAAACCATCTGATACGCTTTCTTCTATCAAGCTTTCTTCCCACACAATCCCTCGGTGACAGTCTCCAAAGGTGTAGCCCAGAGCAGTGTCATCCAGGTTCGTGCTTCTGTTCAATAAATCTCATGCTTATTCAAGGAAAAGACCCATCCTGTGTGCTCTGGCCCCTCTCTCTGCAGGTAGAGCAGTTCTGGAGGTTCTACAGCCACATGGTGCGCCCCGGGGACCTGACGGGCCACAGCGACTTCCACCTCTTCAAAGAAGGGATTAAGCCCATGTGGGAGGTGAGCGAGTTGTTTCCAGCCGGTCAGAGGTGAAGTGTTAGGGGCCTCGTGGTTATGTCCTCGGAGCTGGGCCTCTGGGCAGGGCGCTGCTGCCCTGCCTTACGGCCTGGTTTATCACCACACGGTGTTCTTGGTGACTCTGAGGTTTGTAAGAGACCTCGTACCCGTGGAAGCGGGGTGTGATAGTGTACCTCAGTACCCGCGCCATCGCAGCGCCAGAAGGCGAGTCTGCAGGCAGCGACCAGGCCGGGCCGAGCTCACTGCAGTCTCCCTGCGCTCTGCTGCAGCCCCTCTTACCTGTTGCTGGCAGGTGTCCTAGGGAAGTGCCACCACGGCTGCCTGCCGCCTCCAAGCCAGTGCAGCTCTCCGCTGCACCTCACTGACCCGCCTGCCTGCGTCTGCCCTTTGCTCAGCCAGGCTGCGCCACCCTCACGGGAAGGCCTCGCGCCCGAGTGTCCTTCCCGGCAGGCTGCTGCCCTCCGCAGACTCCTGAGCCGGCGCCGTCCGCGAAGGCTGCAGCCCGGCGTTCCGGCATGACCGGCTCTTGTCTGTCTCCTCTGCTGACTGCATCTGGGTAAAGACTGGCTTCACGCCTGCATCCTTGGCACGTGGTGACACTCAGGAAACACTCAGCACGTGACGAGGAGGTGTGGCCTGCGTTTGAAACCCCACATTTCGTTGTGAATCTGAAAGCGGTCTGGAACAGGGGTTATTTTTAGAGGGTTTGTTGGCCGTGCCAAGGACCCCGCCCTGTCACCCTCCTCCTGCTGCCATTTCCCCCATCAGTTGAATTGTGGAACATGATGAGATTCCTTGGCATTTAGGTCTGCACTGCCTTCATGTGAGGGGTAAGAGCCATGAAATCATGTGTAACTTCCTTCCTCCTGTTGCAGGACGACGCCAATAAGAACGGCGGCAAGTGGATCATTCGGCTCCGGAAGGGCTTGGCCTCCCGGTGCTGGGAGAATCTCATCCTGGCCATGCTGGGGGAGCAGTTCATGGTTGGGGAGGAGATCTGTGGGGCTGTGGTCTCTGTCCGCTTCCAGGTAAGCCTCTCCGTGGGCCCGCCTGCGGTCACGTGTCCTCTGCTGCCCTCGCGGCGCGGTTTGCCTTGATGGCTCCCTCTGCTCCCGCAGGAGGACATTATTTCAATATGGAACAAGACTGCCAGCGACCAAGCCACCACGGCCCGCATCCGCGACACTCTTCGGCGAGTGCTTAACCTACCTCCCAACACCATTATGGAATACAAAACCCACACCGACAGCATCAAGTACGTGAGGGGGCTGGGGGCCTTGTCCCGAGCTGAGCAGGCGCAGGTGTGAGTCGGGCCCAGGGGTGTGGCCGCACAGGAGGCTGACTTAGGGCAGAGGGACGCCGGGCTTCCCCTCCAGCACTGGAGGGAGCTCTGTGCTGTGAGGCTCCCTGCCCGCACTTGGGGTGCGTGTGTCGGAGAGGGCCCCTCCGCAGAAACCTAGTCGCGCTGCCTGGGTTGCTGATCTACACAGCTGCCTTGTCTTTCATCCACTAACCGCTGGCTGCCGGTGAAAGACAACCTGCTCTTTCTCTTGCCGTTTTTGAGAGACCGTCACTGGGCGGCACAGCCCGCTCCCTGCCCGCCCCTCCCCCCACTTCTGCATGTCTTTTTAACCTCTTAGCTTCAGGCTGTAGTCTGTCTGGTAGGTGGCTTTCTCCCTGGAACGATGGCTCCCTTCCTTGTGAGTAGTAGAGCTGATAGCAGCAGAGGAGAGCCTAGACGAGCGTGCTTGCGAGAGTAGGCTGGGGAGCCGGAGACCCGGGAATCGCTGCGCTCCCTGGGACTCGGGGAGGTGGGGCCACAGCCACAGGCGCACCCCCAGCTCCTGGTGCCCTCAGGTCTCGGGGGAGGTGGCGAGGAATGGCTGGTAGGGTTTCCCAGAGCTGGAGGGAGCTCACCGCCCCGGGCGGGGACTTCAGCCTGTGCTGCCCTTTGACCCCAGGGTCAGGCTTGCCTAGGCCAGTCTCCATACCCCTCTGCTCCCCTCAGTAAAGTGGGGTCACCCCCCGACAGGGCTGTTGTGAGGCTGCGGTCTGGTGATTGAAGGTCCTCCACAGAGACTCCTCCCAGGGCCCAGCAGTGTTACTGTCCTCGTCGTCGCTGGCGATGCCGTCACCCCACACCATTCTCGGCAAGGCTAGGCACGTGCCCAGTGTGGTGTCAGCCAGGCTAGCTAAGCGTCTTTGCCCTGAGTGCCCGCAGGTACTGCGAGGGTGGCATTGTCTTGAACTAGCAGAATGCCAGTTTTAGCTGGGATTGCTGCCCTAGGGGCTGGTCCGTGGCCAGATGCCTGGTGTGACGCAGCCAAGCCAGAGCAGTGACTGGCAGCCTCGGCCTGGCTGCTGGTCTTAGCGTCCTGTGCTGGCACTTTCTCTGCAGACAGGTGTTTCCTGTTCTGTGTTCCGGCAGACATAGTTCTTCCCTTCAGCCAGACTGAGTCCGGGCTGGGGGCTGGCTGGGGACCTGCTTTTGCTAGATCTCTTGTTTTCAAGGTTCCCGTATGACCCCTCCCCTCCTCCTCCCTGTTCCCCAACCAAGCTTTCCACCCACGTCGGAAAGGGAAAGGTATTTTTCCACACCCCGCTCCTCCTTTCTCCCTTTCTAATGCCCTGCGGCAGGTCTGCCGAGCACCAGTCCTCAGGGGATGGGAAGCCCTGTGGGCACGATGCCTCAGCCTGCGCTCCCCGCCTCATCCAAGGTCGGTCTAGTCTGCCAGCCCTGCAGCGCCAGGGGCCAGAACACCCTCCTTGACTCCCAAATGCTACTTCCCCCTTGCATCTCCCCCTCTTCCCACTCCCAATGTGCCAACCTTTTGCACTTCCACTAGAATGCCAGGCAGGCTGGGCCCCCAAAGGCTCCTTTTTCAAAACCTCTGGAAGCCGCGGTTGAATGGGCCATGACCCCCTCCCTGCCTGGATGGCACCACCATTGAAGCTGGCATCATCGGAGCCTCTTGATCTGTTGGCGGCCACCTGGAAGAAACTTCTGTGCTGGACAAGAGGAGTTGGAAGAGCAGTTGTGTTCTAAGAACAGGCTGACACGCAGCAGCTACATCAGCTGAGATCACTTAATAAATGGTGCTAAACTAGCTTGTCTCATGCGCTTGCTCTTTATGGTGCATCGAGAAGTGGCCTTGCCGAGCAGCTGTCACCGTCCTGAGGAATGGCACAGACTTCTCCGAGGAGGGCCGCCGGGGAGTGCGGCCTCTTTGCATGGCGCGCTGGGTGCTGCTCACGCGGCGCGGGCCCGGGCCCGCCAGGCCTGACACCGCGCGGGGACGTCTAGCTCCAGACCAGACCCCGCTTCCTGCGCTTGAGTTTCGGTTCCCGTCTAGTCCCGCTGGCGACCAGGGTGGAGCGATTCTGGTTTAGGATTCAGCTTGAGTCTGTTAAAGTTGGAGAAGGGAATCCTGCCCTTTTGTGCTGACTTCGTTGGCTTTGCTTCAAAGAAATCTCTTGCCTGGAGGCGAAGCCCTGCTTCCCTGTGTGTGGCTGTGCGGGTGGCGCGCTGCTGGCACGGGGCTGCTCTCGCTGTGCTGAAGCTGCCCCCGCCACCGGCTCCCCAGCTCTCCGCCAGCTTCTCCCTTCTGCTTTCCCCGTAGAGCCCACCATCTTCTCTTTGAGCTCGCCCCGCTGCCAGGTCTCGAGGCGCGCGGCCTGCCCCCCCACCCCTGGAGTCATCGTGCGTCAGGATCTGGGGGGCCAGGTCTTCCTCCTGCCTGCGGTTTGCTCCTGAGGCCAGCTGACCACGGCGCGGGCCCTCGTGCGCCTGTGGCTTCGGCTCACGCAAAGCCAGCTCGGCCTTCGGGTCCCTAACCGCGTGGAGGACTCAGCCTGCCCCGCGCTGCTTGAGGCTTCCTGAGGCGCTGCCCCCCAAGCCAGGGGTCCAGCCGTCGGGTTGCACGGGGGTGTCCGTCGCCGAGGCTGTGGGTGTGACGTCTAGCTCCCCACGGTGGCTGTTGGGTCTTGACAGCGCCACCTTCTGCGTGTACCACCCTGACTGACTGACCACCAGTGTCCACGTGGCCCAGGACCCCACAGGACGTGCGGGCCAGCACCCCGGGCCGAACAGTCCAGCGGTGTTTGTCGTGGCTGCTTGTTTAACGCGTATCCGGAACGGGCCCAGGGCCGGGCTCTGCGCTTTCAGTGCTTGTCGGAGCTCCCTTCCGCGGCCCTTCTCTCTGTGCTGCCCCTGTTGACCTTAGCTCAGCTGGCGTAGCCCGTCCAGGGGATGAGCATTGATGTCACCTTCGCGCACAGCCCCTGCCGACCTCGAGACCCTTGTGACCCTTGCCCATGCGAGCAGAAGTCAGGACTGCTCTGCTTTTCCTGTTCCCTGTGGTGCTTCCGCAGGTTCGCTCGGGTCGCGGACAGCGGCTCCCGGGGGCTGAGGCGGCTCGGCTGCCCAGAGGGGGGCCTCCGCTTGGCTGTGTGCAGCTCGCTGCCCCTGTCCCCTGCCGGCTGCTGGGGCTCCAGCCTTCGAGTCCCGCTGCTGTGGCCGTCCTGCCGCACTCCTGGCCAGCAGGGGCGAGCGTGCTGCTCCGGGCCTTGGGCTCGCCTGGGGACTCCGGCTCTTGTTGCCGCCGGCTTGCCCTTAGGGCTGGACAGGCCCCGGCTTGCCCTTAGGGCTGGACAGGCCCCTTTGAGAGACTGAAACTTGTTCAGTTGCGCATTAGCTCAGGTGCATGGCTCTTTTCAGTGAGGCCAGTTGTAGTTGAGGCTGCTTAATTGGGGTCCTCATCTAGTGACTCGCCCCATCCTCAGCGAGGAAAAACCCGCACACACAGCGGAGTCACAGGCCCAGCAGGGAGAAGCTGGGTGCGGGGCCACACCGAGCACGAGGTCTTCACGGGGCAGCCTCTTTGGAAGAGCCCATCGATTCGGAGGCCGCTTCTGGCCTGGAGGGGAAAGGCAGGGCCAGCTTCATTCAGTGGTCCACCACTGGGGAGACTCTGCAGAGAAGGTCGAGGGTAGGTGACTTATTTCCTCCTTTAGAGTAGAAAGCAGTCAGATTGTGGGGAGTCCCTTTGCCGGGTCTAGATGTCCGCTGCAGCTGAACATGGAGCTTGTAGACAGGCCAGGCGCCCCTTCTCTTGACTCTCGTGGGGGCCCAGGTCACACCCACACACCTGCTGGCCTGGCTTCGCTGACCTTCCGCTGCAGGCAGCCCAGGCAGCAGGAGTCGGAGCTGAGTGGAAGCTGGGCAGGGGGAGGAGGGCCTGTGCAGAATTACACAGCATGAGCGCTCGGAGCTTGCTCTCTGGTAAGTGAGGTGGGACAGGCGTGGCTGCAAAGAGCTTTTTGTTACTCGATGTCGTTTGAGCCTCTTAGGACTCCCTGTGAGCCCTGGTAATGCCAGGACACTTTCAACTAGGACTTTACCTTCCCCAAAAGGTGGTTTCGATGTGACCTAACAGGCCTGGGTGCCGGGTGGACGAGCCGCCTCCTGCGCCTGCCTTTCGTGTCGCTCTGCCTCCTCCCAGCGCCAGCCTCCGGCCGCCTTCCGTTCCCAGTGAGTGTGTGTGACGACATTCCTTTCCCACGCACCTTCGTGTTAGGGTTTCACACGGGAAGAAGGCGCTTTTGAAGAGAGCTGGGCAGTTTAATACTGGCGTGGACTAGCGGGGCGCGCTGAAGCCCCCCTGCTGCGGCTTCCCGCCACAGCAGCCGCTGTCTCGCTAGGGGAGGCGTCTCGGGAAACGAAGGGATACATGGTGAAGGACGATGCTTCAGTGCGGCCATGTCATTGCTGGTTGGCACCTGTGTGACTTCAGAATTTAAGTGTCACAGGACAAGAAAGGGCTTTCCCGGGTGGTTGCCCGAGCCCTGGATTTTGCTTTGTCCTTGTCTGCATTTGGAGTGAAGAGCGAAAAGGCCTTCGGACATCGGTCACGGACTCGCCGAGGTCACCGCATCACTGCCACCAGGAAGGGCTGTGGAACAGACACCTTACTGTGGAAAAGCAGCTTGTGAATTGACAGACTGGCGCGCGTTGGCAGTCTCTGCTCTCCACTTCAGCTGGCATCTGTTAGTGGCTCTGGTAATGCTCAGAAGAAACGATTAGCAGCAAATCAACATCTGAGACCAAGAGGTAGATGATTAACTTACAAAAGCTGCCGTTCTAAAGTGGGACTCGCTAGTGAAACTGGTGTAGGCTTGGCCCGGAAGGACGACTCCTTTGCTCCAGGCCGCTGTCTTGAACCCTCCCGTGTAACAAGGGGAGAGCGGCTGTGGAAGGCTGGGCGACTCCCCCGCGGTGAGCAGCTCACTGCGCGTGACCTGCGCTGTTCCCACCCCTTTAAAATGAGACTGGAATAGAAATTTTAGATTCAGATTCAGAAACTTTAGATTCAAAGTCCCCGTTTCGCAGTTACTAGGAGTTGACCAGACACTGGCTGAGGTAAAAGGTGGCCCCGACGAAGCTGGGGGCGGGGGGCAGGACTTACTGTGTGGGCCCGATGGTCCCCAGAGGGCTGGTCATGGAGCACCACGTAGGGGCTGTACTCCTCACTCCCATTCTATCCCCTTCAAACCCCGGTTTCTAAATTGAGGTGATCAGCATGAAAGTCCTAATGAGCAGCGTCCTGGGAATCCTTGAGCGGCTGTGACCAGAACAGGTTAAATGCTGAGCTGAAGTTCATGGGTGTTTTCAGAGGCAGCTGGAAGCCGAGACAGATTTGGCGTCTTGAGGTGGAAGGGGTCAGAGGTCAGAAGTGTGTGAACAGAAAGTGGTATCATTTCCTCGTTGCCTCTCGGCGTCAAGCTCGTAGGGACTCACCTTTGCCCGCAGGGTGAGGCCTGGGAGCACAGATGTTCTCTCCCATCCTCACCGCCTCCCGAGTGCTGTAGCCCTGTGCTCGGGGAGCCGGAGGGGCCTCCGGTGGTGCTTGAGCTTGGCTCTGACTCTGGCCTTTTGGGTAGACTGAGGAGTTCTTGAAGGAAGTTGCAAGTCCTTGAGGGGAGAGGGGCCCGACTTCCCAGTGGAGGGAACCAGGAGAGTGGCCGCTGCCCCTGAAAGGAGCTGGCCGCCCTGCCAGTCTGGGGGGAGTCTAGTGGGAGGCTTCAGCGCCTGCTTCAGGGACCGGTGGGCCCCTCAGCCCGGCGGGTGTCGGCAACGGGGGTGGGTTGTCATGTCTGCGCGTGCGCTCTGCTAAAAGCTGCTCTTGTGTTTTTTGTCTCTGGATTGCCAGGGCCTGGGAGGAGTTTCATGGCCTGGTGAACAGCAGCGGCCGCTGATCGGACGCTCCCCTCTGTCTCTCACACTCAGGGTAGGGCCTTGTCTATCTTCTCTGTGACCTTGTAACATACCTCTCAGCCGGAGGACCCTCTTCCCAGGGGCACCAGCTTGGCCAACGTGGCACCTGCCCCAGCCTCTCCTCTGACTAATTACCTCAGTCTCAGAGAAAAGCGGAGGCCAAACCCACGTCGTCCTCCCTGGTGGGCCCCTGGGCAGGTGCGCAACCTCACCCCCGCGGCCTTTGTGTTCTCATTTGGGAAATGAGATTCCCTGCATGCAGACTCCCCTCTTCCCATGCCACCATGCACGATTGCCAGCGTGCCCAGATACTTTATTCTGCACAGACGCGGCCCTTCTGCTGCCGGCTTGCAGTGTCCTGGCCCCGGGGCTGGCCCCAGGTGGCTCGGGCTAGGTGAGAGGTATGTCTCTTGTTGGCTGGTGTGTTGTCGGAGGGAACAGGGACGGCCCCTCAGCGCCTCCGCCGCGGAGGTGATGTCAGGGCTGTGGCAGAGGCCGTCCCAGGCTGTACGGGAACCGGGCCGTCAGAGTTCCCGGCAGGGAGTGGCCGGGGGTGGCGAAGACCAGGTCCGCGGGAGTGTTCCTTCAGGAACATTTGCGTACAGCTGAAGGCGCCAGGCCCACGACCGTTTAGCAGAGGGCGTCGGGCACGTCTGTACCCGACGAGGAGCGGGAGGAAGGACCGTGGCTTCTGCTGGGCCAGGAGCTGCCCGCCCCACCCAGGGAGTGGAGAGCTTCCAGAACTCTGCCAGCACGGCACGGGCGGTGCCCGCCGGTCGCCCTGCCCAGAGAGGTGTGACGCCGAGTTGACGCCAGCGTCTGGGCGCTAGTGGCACCTAGTGGCACTGCCGCTGCACCCTGCAGCGCGCCGTCCCCAGCCTGAGGCGGCCGCGCTCACGCCGGAAGCGCGGGCCGGACCTGCCCATGGGCACCCTGGTTGTGGGCCGAGAGACGGGGTGACTCGGAGTTAGCTGACTCCGCAGACCACCGGTGCTGGGGCAGAATTGTTTTAATTCCGAGCGTGCCCCACTTCTCGGTTTAACGTCCCTGAAGTGGGATTCTCAGCGGGAATGTGGCGAGAAATGTTTTTGTCAGCTTACGTGGCCGTGCTCGCGTTCTCTAGCGCGTGGAAGGGTGGCGCCTTGAAGTGAGGAGCGGACTCACGCAGGGGTGTGCCCGCCCGTCCGCGCAGCCGGCCCAGGAGGCGCCGGGGCTCGCGCCCAGCCGCGCACCGCCGCCTGCCGGAGCCTCTGCCCGCCCGCTGCCCGTCCGTGTCGCCTCCGACGAGGGGCACGTCCGCTGTAGGTGTCCTCACAGACGGAGGGGCCTCCTCGGGGCGGGCCAGCCAGCCCCCCCCGTGGTCCAGCAGCCGGGAAGGGCTTCGTGTTTCCCCGTTCACTTAAGCGTCAGAGGCGGGGCGTTGCGCTGAATTCCCACCGGCCACGCCGGCGCCCCGCTGCAGCCTCTCATCCCCCCGTCCCTTCCCCTGCCAGTCAGTCGCGAGTGACCTGTGGTGGAATCAAAACTACTTAGTTCCTGAGCCACCAGCACTTTGCAGGTTCTCTGATATCTTGTGGCTGCTGATCCCTTGGGACTGTCACTGACCTGCGTTAACGAGCACCCCCCTTTGCACCAGGGCACCCCTAGAAGCCGCAGTAGCTGCTGGGCGGGCCTGGTGACCAGTGTCCAGACTGGCACGCACAGGGCCACGATGGGTGCTGTGGGGAAGGTGGGTGCAGTCTTGCTGTGGGGGAACAGCAAACTCCGTGGCCTGGAAAGGGTCTTCATGCTAGTATGCGGGGGGGAAGGAGGCCAGAGCTGGCCGAGGGTGGACAGCAGGGCGCCAGAGAATGTCCCTTAGAAGGCCGCGTGCAGCAGCTGGTCGTGGGGTCAGGTTGCTGGCGAGGGCAGCGAGGTGTCTGAGGAGCCGCCTCTGCCCCAGGGGCCACTGGGCCCCACCGCGGCGCACTCTGCGCAGAGCTTGAGCCTGGCCGTTTCTCGTCCAGGGATCGTTTTGAGGCAGAGAGGGGAGCATCCTCTGTCCGGGTCTGCGAAGCGGGAGGCCAGTTTGGGACCCGAGTATTGCGAGGCCCTGCCATGTGGTAGAGAAAGGCCTTTGACTTCCTTGGGCCGGTGGGAGTCTCCGCTGCCGTGTCTGCGTGGTGGCCTGCTCTGCCGTGACTCTGCTGGGTGGCTGGAGGCGGGCGTGGGGGCGCCCGCTCTGGAGTTTATAAACTCGAGCTTGCTTTCGACAAGGCAGGGCGCATTTTTCAAGTCACCTGTGACTTCTGGCCCTGTCTGTCCACCATCCTTACCTCTAACCTTGTGCGCTGCGGCCTGCCAGGGGGTCACGTGGAGGCCCCCCCAGCTAGGCACGGCCACCCCCGCCTCCAGCAGCCAGTGTCCAGACCCCCAGCCCTGCCCTCCTCCGCATACACCGGGAACAGCTGGCTCTCGGCTCCCCACTCGGCTCCTTTCCACTGTACAAACAGGGCTTAGGGCGACAGTGTTAGGTTTCCTCTGCAAATAGAGGTTACCAGGATGAATGCGGGCTGTCAGCCGGCAAGGTGCCCCAGAAGGCTTCCGTGCCTGCCAGGAGAGAACTTTCCGACGCCCCACCCGGCAGGGAGTCTGTGGAGGGCCCGTGCTGAAAGCCTCTTGCTGAGATCACAGAACAGCTGACAGGGCTGGGCCGGGCCCTCGCCTGCCAAGCCCCTCACCCCACAGCCAGGAGGCGCTCTGATGCCGCCACCTCACGCTCTTTCTGCTCACTCGACTCACTCCCCACTTCTGGGCCCCAGTTGCCCTGGGGGGCTCCAGAACAGGAGGTGCGGCGCAAGTGGGGCCTTCCTCGTGCCCCTCTCCCGTGGGCAGAGGTGTCCTGGCTCGGCCTGGGCAGCAGAGGCGTGTCACCGCCAGGCTGTCCTCGGTCTGCACCGGCGGGGCCCTAGCGGCCTGTTCCGGCTGCTGGTGGCCCCAGGGGCCCGTCCTGAAAGGGCCTTTGGTGAAGGTGCTCACCCCGCTCAGTTCTTGTTTTCCCGGAAGTCACTGCCCATTCGCAGCCGCGTCAGTCCCTCCCCGGCCAGTCGCCCTCGCCCCCTCCGTGCCTGCAGCCCTGAGGCCTCGGCCGCCCACCTGCCGCTCGCCCATGAGGACCCGTGAGCCGAGGCGGGGGACGCCTCGTCAGCCTGTTCCCGGGCCGGCTGCCGTGAGCGCAGTGACCTGTCGCCCTGTTCAGGGGTCAGTGAAGGCCAGAGTTGCTGAAGTCCCCATTCGAGGGAAACGATGACTCCAGAATCAAGTTAATGAGAACCTCGGTTCCCAGATCAAGCCTGAAGCCCTGGGCTGGAGAGCAGCAGCCTGGGCGGCCCCCAGACCCCTCCGGCCCGCTGGCCTTCTAGAGGGGATGCGGAAGGTTCCAAGCGTGTTCCAGCTCGCGGGCTGCAGCCCGCTGCTAGCGTGCAGGCACCTCGCTGTCCCCCGCAAAGTCCCTTCAGAAGCAGCTGCGAGTTGTAAGCGAGCTCCCGGGCGGCGGGCGGGCACAGCCGGGTCGCCGTCGCTTTTGTCAGGGGTGTGCGAGAGGCGTTCCCTCCCGCGCTCCCGCTGCCCCTGCCCTCAGCGCCCCCGTGGCGCCACAGTGGGGTGTCTGGCGTGACCTTCCTTCGTGCATGTGCGGGCAGCACTGGCCAGTGGCCTCGTCCCGCCCCCACTTCGGCGCCTCCGGCCCGCCTCTCTGGGAGGCTTCGCCAGGGCCGGGGGACCTGCCTCGGCGCGTACCTGTGGGGACTGGTCCCCCGGGGGCCGGCGCGGGCCGGTGTCCAGGCCGCTGACGCTCGGCAGGGCTGGGGGCCCGGGAGCGGCCGCCTTGGCGGCAGGTGTGAGGGGAGGAAGCAGCTGGGCGCGGGGCGGGCAGCCGCGCTGGCCCTCGGGCGTGTGGAGGCCCGGCCGCGGTCTGTGTATTGAACGCTGTTTTCTCCCGTTTTTTTTCTTTCAGGGACAATTCAAGCTTTCGAAATACAAAAATCACATTGTGAAAGTACACGGCTGGCAATAATCCTTTCCTGTGTGTGTGTCCAGGCGGTGGGCGGTCCCCAGCCGGCCCGTCCTCTGCTCACTGAAGGGACCCCCGAGCCGCGGGCTCCCCTTTTGCACTCACCCTGGAGGACGGCGTCCACTAGACACCCTCCAGCATCGCTGACTATAAAGCGGAGGAATGGAAAACGTGACTTTGTAACAGACGAACTTTTTCATGGGGTCCTGTGGGGGGAGTCGGCCCTCGCTTGCCGTGTGCTGGAGGGCGCCCGGGCCTGCCCCTGGCTCCTCTGGCCGGCGGGCGGCGGGGCGTGGCCACGTGTACGAGCCAGAGCTGTCGACGGCGAGTTGTCAGTATTATGAATGTCTGCATCTAGGGACAAGCTTTGTCGGCGAGGCCGGAACAGCTGTACGTGCGTCTAGCGCTGCCATTAAATTATTGGGACCTTTGTTTCTTTCTCTCCCCTGCACCCACGCCCACCCCTTTCTGAAGACGCGTTACTGGCCGCGCAGAGACTGCTGCCTCGGTCCCGGGCCCTCCCCGCGGGGCCCCCTCAGGCCCTCAGGACGTTCACCGGCGCGGGCCCGGAAGGCAGCCTGGAGCGGAGTCCAGTTTGTGGGCCGAGTGCGGGCCGGGGGCAGTGTCTGAGCACTTCAGGCGAGCAGGGCCCGTGCCCAGCCTGTTTCTGTGGGGCTCCGCGCGCCCCTCGGGGAAGGGGGGAGCAAAGCTGGTTGTTGCCAGCTGGTAACAGTGGAGGGCACATTCCCCTCCTGACCCTGTGCCTGCCCGCGGGTCGGGGAACCCGCGTGTGTTCTCGGGGTGCCCGGACGCGCCTGCGGCCGCTCCCCCATGCTCACATCCAGATGGACAGGCACGCACCCGGGTGCCGGTGCCCGGCCCTGGGAGCGCCGAGGCCCAGTGCGGGCCGGGGCTGACCAAGTCCCGAGACGAGTCCTCCCGCGGCCTTCAGGGGCCGTCTCTGG